GCAAACGCACTGCAACTTCGGATCTCAACACGCCCTCCACATGTTTTGGATCATTGCATTGCTCGGGTAGACAACCTCATGCTTGCAAGAAAGCGAAGGATAGTCGCTGTGGCAGCTCTGAACATGATGGTCTCGAGAGGTAATGATTACGATGACGACGATGATGATGAAGATGAGGATGATGATGATGATGATGATGATGATGATGATGATGATGATGATGATGATGAGAATGATGATGATGATGATGATGAGAATGATGATGATGATGATGATGATGATGACGACGACGACGACGACGATGGTGGTGGTGGTGGTGGTGGTGGTTGGAATCATAATGATGATGATGGAAATGATGGAAACGATGGCAATGATGTTTGTTGCTAATATTTACGTGGTAGACTTGGGAATTCTTCATCGTCTTCCTGCGATTCTCAACCTTGTCAACGAGGTTATGCTGCAGGTGGAAAACAAACCATCTGCCATCATCACCTTTGTGGTCACCATCATCATCATCTCCATCTCCATCTCCATCTCCATCTCCATCATCATCATCAGCAACAACAGCATCATCATCATCATCGTCGTCGTCAACAACATGATAATGCAACTGCTCTTCAGTTTCCTCCTCCATGTTTTCCTTGGTGCTGTTGACATACCTCTCAGGAACGCAAAGATATTCTCCTTCCCTGCCAGGCTGAAGCAGCACCTCAGGTTCGACTATTCCTCCTTCCTCCCTCCTCCCTCCTCCCTATCCTCCTCATCCTCCTCCTTGCTATCTTGCTCCTGCTCTCCCCTCTCTCCCTTCCGTCATCTGACGTGCTGTAGGGTTTCGGAGACATTCTTTCAAAGTGAGGAAGCGTTCTAGTCCCTTGAACCTTTTCGTATTCCCTCCTCCTCTGCTCCTCCTCTGCTCCTCCTCTGCTCGTCCTCTGCTCTCCCTCTGCTCCTACTCTGCTCTGCGAGTCAAGCTGACAGTCCTTTGGTCATTGACCTAATCACATGCTCCATACGCCATTTGGATTGCGCACTCTATGGGCAACCAGCACATACGGGTAAAGTTTTCCTCTCTTGGCCCTCCACATCCTCCTCAACTGCTAATGGGGTTTGGCAGTCTACTCCGCGAACAACAGACTGTACGTGTCTTGCGCCGTACAACAGCACGATCATGCAGCTGGACCTGACCACCAAGACCATGTCTGTGCTGGCCGGGG